GGAAAGATTAATTTTTAAAATTATGGGGGAGTTTCAGATTGGGGTGTAGGGGAAAACTAAACCAAGAAAATGTATTGATGGATATTAGGAATTTTTTTGCACTTTGCAAACATTTACTGATGATTTATCGCACCAGTAAATACCATTTCCCATATTTTTAGGCTGTAAGGCCTGAAGGAAACATTTTGGTCATCTAATCTGACCTGCACTATAACACAGACCACTGGGCTTCTTTGAACTGCAGCATCTCTTTTTGAAAAATATCCTATCTTGACGTAAAAATTGCCAGTGAACCCACCAAGACCCATGGTAAGTTGTTTTTTTTTTTTTTCCAGTGGTTAATTACCTATATTATTTTTTTTTAAAATGCCTTATTTCTAGTCAAGATTTGTTTATATTTAACTTCCATTTATTTCATCTTGTTATATCTTAATCTACTACACTGAATAACTCATTATCAAAGCTTTATTCCCTAAGTAAGTAACTATACAATGTGACGAAGTCGCCCCTTATCCTTCTCTTCAGCAGCCAGCTAGATTGAACTGCTTCTTTCACTATGATGCATATGTTATCCAGCCACATCATTGTTCCTGTAGCACTTCTCTAAGCCTTCAAGTCAATGTCCTTCTCAAACTGTAGGCACTATATTGTGACACTATTCCAGCAGCGTTTCACCAATGAGAAATACAGATCTAACATAATTTTCTACTCCTGCATGATGTTTAATAGGATTCTTGGATGTATAAACAGCAGAACCTCTTGGCCCTGCTGGTGAATGGGAGGGGGTTTATGCTCAGCTGGTTCTACAACATAAACTCCAGACCCTTCTCAAAATCCCTGCCTCCCAGGATAGATTCCTTGGTCGTCTTCATTTTTTGGTAGCCCCCAATATGTGTCTCTGCAAAAAGAATTGGTGATGATCATTTAGCTTCTTCCTTAGTCATTGATAAAAATATTAAATAGCATCTGCTGAGAACTGGTGCCTTTTGGGAAAATCATGGACAAACAGTGGGCTTTAGAGATCAATTCAACTGGTCACCTTTTCAAAGCTATCTTGACATGTGCAAGATCTGTACGCTTTATTTTTCCAGGTTCCCAAGAAGGCTCCTGAGAGCACTCAAAGGCTTCTAAGGCAGTTGAGACACTAAAACAGCAGAAAACTAACATGTATTGTGAGGATTTTCCTATCTTTGGTTGCAGCCAAACTGGTCTTAGAAAATGGAACCAGTCCTCAAATCCATGGGTTGTGTTCATGGGTGACCTGAGATTCCAGCTGGGGTTCATCTTTGATCTGATGCCCATCTGGTTCAGCAAAATGGTTCAGCTAGGTCAGTTTTTATGGATACCTAAGTGAACAACCAGCAAGTTTTTACTTCAAATATAACAAAACACCACAGGTTTAGAAGAACAGAAACCCATGGAAATCGTGTCTTTTTGTAATCCCAGTGCACCTTATGAACAGTACATTGGAAATCAGCATTTAAGTAACTTGTTAAACCCACTAGGAACCTCATTATCCAGGACATAGTTTTAACAGTTATATAAGCAGGAAAAATGTTGTGAGACAAGTGTGCGCCTTGTAGCTGGAAAAAAAAAAAAAAGCCTACCATCTAACTAACCTGAAGATAAACATCCAATTAACCAGTACATACCTTGACACATCAATGCATTTGCTAAAACTCAGGAGGACAAGGGTTTCAGGAGTGCAACACAGAGGTAAGTATCCATCTTTTTGTACAAGAATTTATTTTGTAACTTGCCATGATCATGACAAATACAACCCTTAAAACACATCAAGAGGAGCAAAACTGCATTTACTCAGGTTTATATACAAACATGGTGCAATATTGCTGACTATAGTTAAAGTTGCACACAATATTTTTCCTTTTTAATTCTGGGAAATTAATTCTAATTAGTTTATTACCTTTTGAATGTATTAGCTTTCTGAGGCCAACTTATTGCAATGATACTGCAAGTCTGCTGGCACAACTCTGTATTTTTTATCTGCATTTTTTAAGTCATTGCCATGTGGCACCTGCTAACAGGGACAAAGAAACCATGAGGTATACCAATCTGACAAATGTACATATTAATTAGCTAGCAAACCTAGTCTAGCAAACCCTTAGCAATGGAAATAATTTTCCTTACATGACAAATCCCATTGAGCTGCTCACATCAATAAAATTATTCCTAGTTATAAAGTGTCTATAAGCTAAGGACTAGAAGACTGACTTTTTTACTTGTAATTGATACCTTTACTATAATTTTCTTCATTTTTAATGTCCAGTTATAACTTGTGTATTCTTACTGGTGGCTCTAAAGTCAATGGAACTGCTTGCATGAGTGGATCAGCAAAGCGAATAAAGCCTTAATGCCAGGTTTCTAACAAGCAAAATTTGTGAAGTTTGGCAATGAATTTTATTGGACCCAGCTTAAAACCAATAAAGCTATGAATATACGTTTCTGGGCCTATCTTCTGATGATATTGTATACTTTTCTTTGAGAACAAGCACTGTGAAGTCAGACCTAGAGTGGTAGTTTTGTGAAAAGTGTTCCACTGTTGATGGGGTTGTTTCTGTCCTTTAATTTTCTATGGGAGAGCATTGGAGAAGGGATGAAAGCAGCTCTAGCCCCAAACTCAGCACGGGCTCGGGGGGAGAGGAGAGGGAAGGGGAGAGGGAAATCCTAAGAGCCTTTGCTAGAGTCACTGCAGCGCATGGTCTAGAGTGTCCCTCCCCTGTCCTGGTTTCATCCAAGCCCTAGGACCCTGCCTTGGAGTGGCTCGAGGAAGGGCTCGCAGGATTCTACCCTCCCCTGGGTCAGTTCTGAGTTTTAGGGCTGAAGGTGTTTCCCATGCAGCTGCAAGGGCATGACTGCCTCTCCCTGCCCCCCAACTGGGACTGGAGATCTGTAGATGCATGGGAAGTGGCCTCAGCCTCAGCACTGCCTTGGGGTGGGGGGGTGGGGAAGGGTTCCTCGGAGCCCTACCCAGAGCCACTCCAGTGCACAGTTCTGGGGCTTGGAATGAACTGGGACAGGGGAGGGACACAGTTCCCCACTGACCTGGGCCCAGAATGTGGCACATGCTGCTGATGCTCCATTCTCCCAGCAGCTCACGAGCCCTGCTCCCCCTCCCCTCTGTCCTGCCTGTGGTTCAGAGCTAGGGAGCTCAGGGGCAGGGTTGGGTAGGTGCTTGGCTGGAGCAGCTGAGTAGCAGCTCCCGGAGGGGCGGGGGGGTGGTTAGCAAGAAGCCTGCAGCAACCCCTTATGACCCCAGTATGCTGGCAGACAGTGACCTACCTTGATTTGCAAGCAGACCTGGTACTCATGATTGATTAATTAGTCTAACCTAGATGGAGTAAGTCTGATACTACATCGATCCAGGTGTCTTTTAGACTGGGATCTGCTATTTTTAAAGCAGTCTATGTGCCCCAAACTTCTGTTCTGTTACAGATATAGACCAGTTTCCAAAAACCAGGAAAAAAGGTTAATGTTAGTGCTTGGCCCATCTGTCTGTGTTTGTTTGTTTGTTTGTTTTTCCCCTTCCTCCTAGGCACTTACTAATTCTATATTTTTCACGGTTTTTTCCTGGCCATTTCTGTGGCTGTTTTTGCTTCCTGACAGAAGTATTTTGGTTCACAGGGATCTCTTTGTGTCTCTAGCTTTGTGACCTCTGTTTCCTCATCTCGTTCTCTACTGATCAGAGCCATTGGTGATTAGATACTCAGCAGAGGTGTTTGTGCAGCCTTTGACACATTGAATCCCCTGCTGCCTGGATTTCAAAAAGGTAATCATTTCCATAGACCTGCCACTGACTCTTTGCTCAAGCTTTTGTCATTGACTCTTTTTACTGGTTCTCTTCTTAAAGAGATTGTTTCTACATCCTTCCAGTAG